TACGACTCCCCTCTCTCCTGACGGCTAAATAGCCTCCCCCTATTGGGGATTACCCAACAACGATGTTCCCTGTTTCCGATGGTCCCTCTTCCTTGTACAAATGAAACAGGAAAAACCACGAAAAGTGAACACCCCTCACAGGGCGCCGGAAGGCAAATACGACCTGCCCCCTATAGCGTCCTTGAAAGAAGGAAGATCAACTATCACAGAAATTTCTGCTCAGACCAAATACCACCCGCCTGTTGGAGAATCCCCAACAATAACGATGTGCTCTGACTGAAATCACAAATTGGGCGCCACTGGTCGTGACTGCGGTCACGACGTTTAGTCCAACGGCTAAATCACATCGTGGTCCTTGCTTGCAGTCTTGTTAGCTTCTTATTGTGTTGTGACGCAAGCTGTTCAGAGTCGTATGATTTGATGATATCGAAGTTTTTCGCTTTCCTAAGCGACTTACTCCATAGGTCTAGGACCCATCAACAGTGGGAACGGATTCTTGGTGAACAATTTCAGGTTGGTTCTTATCCTTTATCCTATCTTCCTCTTATAGTGTTTCATTTGGCGTCTCCAGCTTCTCTCTTGCTGCAACTTTGAGTTGTACTTTGTGGGCGTAGTTCGGCGATAGGTAAGGGGGAATTTTGCACATTCGCTGCTCGCTAGTTCCGGTTACAAGCCTCGTTCTGGTGAAACCTGTGAACTCTTGTGAAGCTGGAGGAAGCTCGTCGAACCACCATGAACCCTGTCGACTCTAGTAAGCTCGTGAGAGCTTACTAGACGTCTCGACACGTCCATGGGAAGCAGCAAATGTGCAAGATCCCTTCCCCCTCCGAATCGCCCCTACTTTATGTTAATATTTCATGTGCCTTCGAGTCGACAGGTAACAACTGTTTTCAACTTTGAAGTAGGCCTAGTCATTGTTTCGACGGTATCGTCGTCCTGAAAATAAGTCCGGAGTTCAGATTTGTGCTCCTATCCACCGTGCGTACCATCTCTAGCAGTCCTGGGATCCTATGGGGAGCCTCGGTGGTCCAAGCAAATCAGTAAAAAGTTATCACTGGAGCTTCATTTATTTTTCAAGGTACGTTCAGACTTACACGATGGCAGGCGCCTCGGTCGCGCGATCAATGTCCCATGCTTTCAACTGCATCGACATCGATCGCGCCGACCGAAGCGCTGCTGTTGCGAAGTCTGAACGCTGCCTTACGTCTCCAAGGTTACGACTCGAGCGAAACGTTAGGCCACCTCATTTGTGTGAGCGCCTCAGATAGGACCCTCTTCCTATGAAAAGTTTGAAGACAAGGCGAAGAGACGGCGTGCTAAGACTTTTCACTTGTTGGTATCATAAGGTATCGGCTCTTCCTCATCACTTCACTATCGCCATGCAAATTGGAAAGAAATAGTTGTTCAACAACTGTACCATCACACGGTCGGTAAAACTAATTCTGTGAAGTAGTGTGGCAGTGGGAGTGGCATTGCCTATGTCATGGGTGCGTAGCGTCCTTACGTTGCCGTTGCTTATCACAGCAATGGCAAATATAGATCTCATACCCTTCCGCCTTATCGTCTCTATCTTGTTATGTAGAGCGCACTAAAACTTCGCGATCCAATCATTTGAATCTGGCGATCCGGAGGGCTGGATCACAAAGTCTGCGCGCTGATGAACCAGGATTTCGGGCAGTGCCTTCAACTTTCACCATACGATCTTTATTTCCATCCCTGGGGAGCAATTTCCCTTTTGCGCAGACTCAGCGCTTTCAGTGGAATTACGTTTCCTTTTCATGATTAGTGCTAGCTTTGAAGAAGGTGAAAACTATGTGGCCGCGGCACATCGTGGCGATGAAGAAAGTTTGCCTGTCAGCAGGTGTCACGCATTTGCTTCCCGCTACCTATTCCATAAACATTTGAAAGGGAGTTTGAGCAACAAAAAGACTTCTTGGGCTGCCAGTCGTTCACATTATGATACTTTGGGGAGTCGCACAGGTTCTCCATATCGAAATATTGGCCTTGAGTAGTTCCGATGTTGTTCTAGCAGTTTATGACGTTTCTAGCTTACTTTGGGCGCTCACTCTAATAACGAACTTTCTGCAGTGATAGAAATTGCCCAACTGCACTGGTTTATCCGCTCCGTCCTTCATAACCTCTCTCAACGAGCCTAGAATCATTTCGCAGCTTATCCCATGCTTCACATCATTGCCTAGTACGTCGGCAAGAATTTACGTAGACCTCCTATACCTCCCTAGGGGAATGGCGCCGGAAAAATTCTTACCCTCTAGTTTGGGAAATGTAGAAAACAACTTTAAGCATTTTATCGAGCATTAATACTTGCCTGTCTCAACTAATCGACGGGTCAGCTAGCCAATGGAAGCTCCTTTTCATATGGTGCACTTTGAAACTGCTTCTTATTTGCTAGTGTGGCAGCTGCTGCTCACCCAGTTAGGGGGGAGGTGTAGGGAAGGCGAATTCCTCGGTAGTGCATTTTGTTACACCCGCTTAGCAAGGCTTGGAAACAAAGCGCAGACGACCAGAGTAGCCGAGGAATTGTCTCGAAGACATATTATCGATTAGGCCTAAAATTTCAAGGAAGAGACACGCAGGCGGTCAAGAGTGGTCTCCCTGCCCCCCCTCCTCCCTACTGCGTTACAGCCGAACAGCCTTCTCACCTTAGATTAGTCCAAATCATCGACTGTGACCGATACATGATCACCAGTAGCTGCAGTTGCGCACATATCTCCCACAAAAAACTCGAAGGATAAAGTATTCGGTGCGGGTTAGTCGCTTTGTAAGCAAGATATAGCTTGGCTTCCTTCTTTGTCATTGAACGGTTTCAGAATAAACAGTCATTGACGTCCATCCAACTCAAGAGAACAGGAAAAGCGTACACATCTAGAGCAACACGATTAAAGAGGTGGTTACTTCATCATTCTGGCTTTTTTTTCAAATTCAATATATTTTTTTATTGCTTTGTACAGTCGAGAGATGCAATCCATCCTCTAGGGTCTCATCTGACTCTGCGTGTTAACCAGAGAAGCACTAAGCAACAAACTATCCCAAAGCCCATTATAGGGTTTTTCGAATGGTAAAGTGATTTGCAAATGGGACTCTCCGTCAAGAAAAACATAAAGAAGGGCTCTTCTTCCCCAGCGGGCTTTTAACACGTTGACGACGAGCCATTTTTCCCATGACTTGCGCCTGGGACGGCACATTTTTCTACACTGAAACTTAGTAATTTCCAAATAAATGAATTACTACGACCAAAATGTATCGAGAAATGCAAGAGACGAGTATAGCAATCTCGAATCTTTGACACAATTTAGCTCTTATTGCTCCAATCTTCCAAAATCAGGCCATTTTTACCAAATTCTTCCTCTGGAAGACAGAATTGA